ATTTGTTTAAAGGAAAACAAATTGACATAACTCCTCGAAGTTTTTACAGAATTTTCTTCGCACAGAGAAGAAAAATCACGGCAGTTTCAAAGAATTGCCGTCGAGTAGTTTTCCGTTTATAAAATAAAGTGTGACAGGAAGTCTGCAACGTTGTAAATCGAGTCATGTGATTGCCGACTTACACCGTCGATATATCGCCTTTGACACCCACCTTGCGTGTGAAAAAGAGCCAGGAAAGCAAAATTTGATTTTCCTTTTGAGAGCTTCACCCAAAAGTATTAATACTATCTCCAGAAGTTCTTTGTAGTCCTCCCTCGGCTGGTAAGCCTACGCATAAAACAAAGAAGCCAAATCCTGTTCGATTGTGACAGTAACACAGTAATAAGTTTATTTTTTAGTGAATCTTGATAGATAAAAGAGTAATAGTAGTAGTATTATAGTAGTGATAGTTGTACTAATAGTAAGAAGGAAGAAAAAAAAGTCACAAAGAAAACAAGAGAGAAAGAAGTAAAGAAAAGAAAGAAGGGTACCTTTTCTATTTTCTTTATTTTTAATGTGATCATTCAATGAATAAAGAAGTAAAATTTAAACTGATGCTCAGCGAATTCCACGATTTTTCTCTTTTTATCTGCAAGTACTGAGGAAAATTGTTGGTCCCTTGAGCATGTTTTAATTTGAGACGTATCAATCTGGGGCCTGAAATTTTGAAACCTCTTGCATAGTTCGTCCTCTGGTCCTTTCCTCTCACCAAGACAAGCGCAAAAAACTGCACCCAGCATTAACTCGAATATGTGGTGTCTGCAGGCACAATATAACAGCAATTTTTTCAGTTTGTTTTCGAGTAAAACACACGCACCTTTGTGTTTCCCAGTGTTGGTTGCGGTTGTGTCAAAGCTCATAGCACCAACTTTTTCACACAAAATCCAGTCTTTTAATGTGTTGTTTACAACATCGGCTTGATTTTTTCCGGTGCCACTTTTCAATGATGGAACATTCAACAACTTCTCAGTCTTCACTCCCGTCCCTATAATCGGCGATCGATCACTTTTTTCTTTACCGCTTAAATTTGGCAGCAACTTCCCATCCCAATGTACTGTAAGTGGTGTCATGGCGCTCTCAGAAAAGTCATGTTTAATTTTTAGAAACTGTTCTTTGCAAATTTTTCGTCGCTGGCGATGAATGGTAGATTAGCTGAGTGGTAATTCACTGACACTTTCTCCAATTGCACTTGATGTTGCAGCTATGATGCTGGTTGCAGCACGATTGCTGACACCAGTTCTGTCTAAAATCGCGACCAATTTAGGGTTTGCAATATTTTTGAACCCTTTCTCGGGTACATTTTCCGTTTGTCTTGATCTTGACCGCCTTCTTTTCAATGTCTCTTCCTTCAGATGATGAAAACGAAGTTCCCCCATTATCGTCTGAGGAAGAGGCAAGTTGCACCAAACGACTTCTTTCCTCTAAACGCTTACCCTCTGCTGCTAGGCGTGTTTCTTTTTCCTGACTTTTTTGTACAGATGCTCTCCTCTGTTCATCGCGAACTTTTTTCCACTGCTCTTTTCGTGTCAAGTTTTTATCAAGGGACCCCATGTGTCCAACTCGTCCTTCTTGGCGTCGAGCTATTCAAAATTGTCTGTCTTTTTCGTTTTAATCATTTGTAATGCATTTTTATGCTCCATGTCAAACAAGCACGGGAGGAATTTCTTGAAAGCGTTTTCATTAGCAATTTGTGTTTGGGATCGTCATTTTGGCCATAGATATTGCCAAAGATATTGTACCCAATTTGTTAAGGATGCCTTTTGATCCTTTCTTAACTGTAATGTTTTATATGTACCTGTTTGTATGTAGATCTGATGATCCTATGAGGAATTAAGGGCTTTTTTGAAGTATGCCTCTTGATCCTTTCTTATCTCTGATTTTTTATCAGTACGTTAAACAAACATTAATAATCATTAAAAGAGCTATGATCAGTATTATATTTTATAATTCCTCAAATGATGCTTTTGTTGGAATTTGTATTATTTTTTGGGAGGTTCTATTTTCTTTATTAATCCTTTCTCTGTCGGAAACTTTGTGGGTAGAATGCCACAAGTCAACTGTGATGAAAATTTTGAAATGTTCACCTCTCTCTGTTGTTTTTACAATTATAACTGTGTGTTACCTGTGATCAATTCATTCAAAAAGAGTGTCCTATGAAATCGTTCCTATCTCTGAAAATCAATAACAGCGCATTTTTGGAAACACGCAGTCATGTTTGTATGTTGATGCAATGCTCGTATGAGGAATTAAGGGCTTTTTTGATGGATGCTTCTTGATCCTTTCTTACCTCTGATTTTTTTATAAGTACAGTGAACAAGCGATAATAACCATGAAAATAACTATAATTAGTTTAATGTTTTTTAATCCATTTTGGTTGATTACACATGATGTTTTTGTTGGAGTTTTTATTATTTTTCTGAAAGTATTTATCTTCTTATGTATGTGGATCGCATTTTGCAAACAGGAACCAGCATAATAACAGTGTTGTAAAAATGTTGCTTCCACGTAAATATTTAAGCAATCTCCCAGAACAGCGAATAGCTTTGGCTCCCGATGGAAAAATTGTTAATTTTAAGGGAAAATAATTGTGTAAATTTTAATAATGTGCTTAAGTCAAGTATTTTTAAGAGAGAAGGAGAAGTTGCACGGTTTTTAAAACACTGTAACAGCGCTGGTTATTTTTCCTGGTTATTAATCCTTTCTGTGTTGTTTTAATAATCATAACTATGTGTTACCTGTGATCAATTCATTCAAAATGGTTGGTTACTTGTTTCTCCTTTCTGTCGGAAGGTATTATGTGAAGTGACTGCCTGTAGAAAGGCGTATTATAAAACTGTCAGCGCTTTTTTGATGGATACTTTTAGATCTTTTCTTACCTGTAATTTTCTTACAGAGAAATTGTTCAACAAAGCTGTCCGAAAATTTCGCCTGGTGCTACCGATTAAATTCAGTGAAATTTTCCAACAGATTCAACCAAAAATTTCTCTGTAAAAAAATAAAATGGAGGCAGAAATTTTTAAATTTCGTATGGCGCTTGTGATGCTTTGGCCAGATGGTGACAAATGTAGCTGCGATCGATTCATTCAAAATGGTAGATATTATTTTACTCATTTCACCTTCCTGTCTGAAGGTATTATTTGAAGAGATAGCCTGTGAAAGGGCGTATTGTAAAATGGTTTTTAAAGTTATTTAATGCTAAACTGAATTTTTTTATTCGAACTATAAATCTCTGACTTAATCTAAAACTGTAACTCTGTATAGTGCATTTTATCTTTAGTTCCTTATTATGTTCAATCTTTTTTTCTAAATCTGAGAGGAATAATTTTTATTTTTTGATTTTTGTGCCTGCTTATTTATAATTTTCGCTGCATAAAATGCAGTCTGCCTTGTGATACTGTCTCTGGCTGTTAATTAAATCATACGTTCTTCTTTGTACTCCTAATAATAAATGCATTTTTGTACAACTATAAAATGTGAAGTTTTTAGTTTTACTACAAGCCCACTTTTGCCCTCTGTAAGCTTCCAACTTTCGAAGGTCTTAACTTTTTGATTGAAACAAGGAAAGGAGAAGAAGAAAACAATTTTTAATCTGTTTTCTTTGAAATGTGAGATATTTGGAGAGGTAGGCGCAAGTTCAGATTTTGAAAAAAAAAATAAATAAATAAATAAATAAACCCAAAGAAAAAAAAGGTTTAAAGATAGTCGTATTGGATGCTCCAATGAAGCTAGTCACAGTGTGACACTTTTTACAGTTGAACATCAAAGCATCATATTTAAGCTTCATAATTTATGGTCAAAATTCATTTCGACCATTTGGTGCCATGAAATTTAGAAATTCAGACTCATTTTTCTCAAACAAATAAAAAGTGCTCCTTTGTACTCTGACCTCCAAGGATCCTTAAAAAACTTGAGTCCCTTTATTTCAGTGGAAAAAAACTTTGAGAATACGAATACGCTAGAATATGGGTGGAAAATCAGCATTAAGAGCGTTTCTCCGTAAAATATTGAAAATGTTCAAAGATGCCTCCCCCCAAGTCCCCTGATTTTGAAAGATGATTGGCACGTCTCTAATTTTTTGGCAGCACGTACTAAAGTACATATCATTTTCTATACTGCTCTTATAACCCCGGATCTCTTGGCTCATTTAATGTACTGCCAAATCGCCCTTTTAGAGGTTGATGGCACCTTTTTGGAAATAGGTCTGGAAAAGAGGACCATCATTTGGACTGCATTTTGCAATTTGGAGCTATAAATTCTGGCTCATCTGAAAAAACACGTATGTGTATAGGGAAACTAATGGCACATACCTTGTTTTTAAACCGGGCCTGAATTTATAGTTCCAAATTGCAAAATGCAGTCCATTTCTCGTTTCATGTATCTTGAGAGTGTTTCACGTCAATTTTCATGAAGTTTGGTGTGTTGAATTTTTTTAAAATCCCATTTTTAACTCCGAATCTTTTGGCTCGATTAACGCTAGATTAACGTATTGTCGAGTCGCCCTTTTTGAGCTTGCTAGGCCCTTTTTGGAGATAGGTTCGGGAAAAAGGACCTTAATTTCTTGTTCTGCATATTGTAAGGGTGTCTCCTACCAATTTTTTTGAAGATTGATGTATTTATTTCTTTTTTAATTACTTCCATTAATCAGCAGGATCTGCCTCCCTCTTATACAAATAAATAGTGTGGCTTTTTCGGGGGTCCCCCGGTCCTTTTTGAATGTAGGTATAAAATGTTAAATGTTTAAAAATAAAAAATTTAAAAAAAACAGAATACGCGCTTGCTAAAGTAATTCAGAAAATAATGTAGAAAGTACTCTTCCTCCCTCCCTCCCCCTTCCCAATCCCCAACTTCCTCCCCGATCATTACTCATTAGTGGTCGGACGGAACACTCGTGACGATTAGGTAGTGCCTTGAACGGGAGGCGATAAGGCAACACCGCATGAGGCACTCCGCTTTATTGTTTGAGGTTATGTTTTCAAATTAACCACATCGAAAATTTTGAAAATTTCACATGATTTCCCAAAGTGGATCACCTGTTTTCTTGCAACAATCTTTTCTATGTGTGCAGGATTATAATTTGTTTGTGGCTGTGCTGTGCGTCTGTGACATGTTACACGTTTCTTTTGTGTCTTAACCCCACGAAAAACTTACTTTGTTCCATTTATTCATCGTCTCTCTCCCATCAATGAATTCTAAGGGCCACTTTCTTAGTTATTAATCAGCTTTAAATCTCTAATCTGAGTCCTCAGAATGGGCAAAGAAAATGAAACAGAAAGTCAGTCTGAATCCTTTGAAATTATTGACCATTCGTTTCAGAAGGAGTTGCAAGATTTGCCAGAAGTTACGGCGTACATAGAGAGACTTCAGAACATCATCCTTCGTCAAAGGAAGATACTTCTTCGATTTTATAACGAAAAAAAATCAAAGGTTTGTCCATCAAAATTTTCAGGCATTTCTGAATAAGTGTAATCTGAAGCAATGGCCGATCTACCTGAGTAAGAATCAGCCTTGCCTGCCAATTGCTGAACTTTGTAAGATAGCTCATCGAATAACCCTAATTGAAATATAACGTTGCATGAGTGGACTATCTCCCCTGAAAACATTTTACTTCCTTTCAGTACGACCATCCACTAAGTAGAGGACCTCAGTCTGTTGGGGTAGAATTTGAAGTTGAGCAATTTTTGTTCAGTTGGGTTGAGTATAAGAATTTTGAAATTTTCATGAATAACTCAAATAACCGGAAGAATTAGTTGAAAGCAGTTTTGTGCAATTACAGGGTATGAAGTTGCATTACACTCCGCAATTTCAACTCAAAACAAGCAGAGTATAAATCACAATATGTAATTCTGTAAGCCCTACAGAGAAGAAAAAGGAGGTGTTTGTTTCTCGGGCATCTTAGATTTTTTTGATGACGTAGGTCGGTACGGACAAGTTTTATCATCGATTTTCTTGGGAATGGTGTAGTTTATGGTATTCATGGTGTTATGGTGTTAGTTATGGTGTCATTCTATATTAAGACTTTGAAATTATGTCATGAGTTGATTTTAGCAAAAGACTTTGACGCTCTGGTCCGTTTTCAAATTTCGTATTCCAAATTTTGCTGGCTAGGTTGTACTAATCTACGTCACAGGGTTAACAATCCTCAAGATGCAAACACCTCCTTTTTTTTCTCTATGCGTAAGCCTAATCCTTCAGGTCAGAATTTAGCGGGGACCGCCGGGTCGACCTGGGCATGGGTGATTCTGGTTTGACCGTCCCAGTCACTGGACGGCTGGAAAAACAGAGGGATCGCACAGTTGGCTCCACGCCCCTTGCGCCCTTTGAAAGATCGGTTAGCCCGTTCGGGAGATGTGCGGTTTCTTGTTATTTCCGGGTGCTTTTTTTCTGTCAGCTGATAGTTTGCTGCCCGAGGTGGATGTCGTCATGGAAATTGCTGTGGGTAATTTCTCACAACAGGTAGTTCGGAGACATAGATAATAAGGTGTTAGCACTATTATTCTATGTCAGAGATCAGCTTTTGAACGAAAAAAGCGAACATAGAAAATTTTCTTAACATCTCTCAGAAAGAATATTTAATCGGGAGAAATGAGGCAACGTTGGACTGCTCACACGGCGTCGAAACACAACATGGGCCTATGAAGCCCCATAGTTCGATGTCGCGATTATCCTAACGCGAGTTCGAATAATCGCGCCAAACATGGTGCGATCATAGTCAAACGCATATTAGCGCCTACAAGACTGCATGAATACTTCTCGCATTGCACCAAACGCAATGCGAGAATTATTTGCAATAATTGTTCGATTACGGGTATAGGCAAATTGCCGCTAACTGGATTGAAGGCGCACCACACTGTGAAGATGACCCGACACTTGACCGCGCTCCCCTCTCTTGCTTGCGCGACGCTAAAATCGCCTCTAAACTAGGACCACGCGTCATTTCCTTTAACGGTCCCTGCCCGGTTTTTACCACAATTGGACTGCATTTTGCAATTTTGAACTACAAATTCTAGCCCGGTTTAAAAACGACGTATGTGCCATTAGTTTCCCTATGCACATAAGTGTTTTTCCAGAAGACCCAGAGTCGGTTGTATTTGACATGTATTTTGACGGTTCCTTCCCTGTACATTTATGAGATTATCAATGAAGGTATACGTTCTGAAATTCTAACGATTGACAGAACGACCCCTAATTATGGATATGGCACCAGACATTGCTTCATGAACAATAATATTATAACAACTAGGGAGAGTAAATTAATGAAAAATCAAGCGATAACTTTTTTCAACACCTTGACCAACGAATTAAAAGTAATGCACAGGGAAAGTTCCGTCAAAATATTCCTTAATCAATTGAAAATAAAACTAAAAAATAAAGCTTATTATAATCTATAAGAATTTTTTGAGGAACCTGTATAATTTCATTTTGCTTAAATTGTTGTAATTGTTGTATAAATTGTAAATTTGACTTGTGCCAGAGCTGTTTACTATAGGCTGTATGCATCAATAAAGTCTATCCATCTATCTATCTATATGTAGTTCCAAATTGCAAAATGCAGTCCAAATAACTAGTAAATAGTATCTTAATTGCAACGATTCAGCAACTCGGACGATGCTTATTCGATGCAGTGATTCTGAAACTTGATTTGCGTAAAATTAATTAACTTTTCATAATTTCTGGATTTGCTATTTACCATATTGCTTAAGGTTATATTTATTTAAACACCTGAATTTTACATAAAATTAACTTTTAATTACTTCTTATTCTTGATGTTGTGTTGTTTCAGACTGATGCCTCGACTCAAACAGACGTTCCTCTGGGGCAGGAATCTTCCGTTTCCCCATCTAAGTCAGATGTAAAGTTGATCTCTGATAACTGGTCTGTAAATAGCAAAGATCTTGGAGTCAGCATTCAAGAGCAGGTCACAGTTGCTGCAGAAAATGCCATGAAACAGACGGGTTTTGTATATGAGGAGACTTCTGGCATGTATTATGACTATAATACGGGATACTATTACAATGCTGTAAGTTTTACTTTATCATAATTTGTAATTCTCTGAAGGAAAAAGGAACTTCAGTGCATGCAGATGATTGTTCAAGGAAGTGGTTCCTCTTAATCCTTTGAGTACGTCCTAAGTATGGCGGAATATATTTTCAGCAGAAAAATCATTCTTGAGAACTTTGTCCGAGTATACTAATATTTGCAACTTCATTGAATTTGCCGCTATAGGGCTAGGTGGGAAATTAAAATGAAGTTATGAATGGGAATATACTCAAGAGCAGCTCCCAGGAAATGTTTTATCTCATATGAGCAGTTTTGGCCAAGGGAACGCTGAATTTGTATTCCTAGCTCAGCAGTACTCGGAAGGGTTAAGTTGGGCAGGAAAATTAGTTTTAGAAGGAAATCACACATGAGTTTCTTTGAACAAAAATACGCAAACAGAATGTTTCATTGTGCCAATAGAAGTCTTACAGTCGCATTTTTTAGAATGAGAAACAACTTAATCAGCCAAAAAACACAGTAAAGTAATAATTTAATGTGGGGGAAAGCTTCTGCAAAAGTCAAAAGACCTAGGTAAAACAAAATTTAAAGTGAAAAAGGAACTGAGACGTTTTAAGATAGTTACCAACTCATTTTCAACCGGAAATACGAAAAAAAAATGAGTTGGTATTAGATTTGTCCTTAGTTTGCCAGCTTTATTGAACCAGTGTAGGTTAGATTTTTTGTTCAGTTTAGAAAGAAATTTACACCCGAAAGTCATCCACCGATTGTTTTAATGCTGAAAAATCAAGTTGTGTACAAAAATCTCGAACATTTTTAGCAACTACTTATCAAAATAAACCTTGAATGTATGTAAAATCCAAATTCAAGATGTTTAACCAAAGAAAAAAAAGTTGAACAATTGATCAGAATGATTTTTCTGATGTAATTTCTAAGAATTGAAACATATATTTTTGGGGTTTTTTTCCTTACAGGAGTTAGGTTTGTATTATGATGGCAACACAGGAACGTATTACTATTATGATGAAGCCAGAAGAACATATCATTTTCATTCAAAAGTCGAACCCTCTGTACTTCCAAAAGTGCTGGATGAATCAGCTAGTCAGCAGAAACCACAATCAGAAACAAAAATGGAGACTGAAAACTTTAGTGAAGAATCAGTAAAGGTATGCCTTGTTTTGAAATTATTCCTGGTTAATGGACCACTGGACAAGGTACGAACTTAAGCATTGTGATACATGTTTCTTACCCAGAATTTCACGTAGAACATGATTTGCACAACGAAAATTACTGAAACCAACTCCTAACGGAGATATTAACATTTTTATTTCACATTGGTTGCGAGGAATTTGAACTGCCCGCTCACACGAAACTCAAAGCTCTACGTCAGTCAAATCGTGCACTACAACGGTTTCAGCAACCCTCTCAATCGAGCAGTCTTCATTTCCCACCATGTGTTTTTCAAACTATAAGTACTTTGCCACAGCTGAGCCAAAGCGTCAAGATTGAGGTTGCCAGATTTTTTTATCGCAGAGATGTTCATGATAACCTTTAGGCACAATGTGAATCACGTAGAGCATTGAGTTTTCATGAGCAGGTGGTTTCAATTTACGCACCAAGAATCATAAAATATCTTCAGAAGGAGTTGATTTCGGTAATTTTCGTTGTGCGCATCGTGTTTTATGTGAAATTTTGGTGAAGAAATATGTATCAGAATGCTGAATTTTGAACCTTGTCTAGTGATCCATTATGGAAATAAAAATGCGGAATTTTGTCCGTCCCTGTGTTTATTCTCATGGTAAGGAGATTAAATTATTTCATGATTGTGTGGTGAAGATCTTGAGTTTTCTCCTCCAATTTCTGTAGAAACATCAAAAACAGTTCGAAAAATAATCTCTTCTAATGTTTTTTTACAATTTTGATCAACTGATAAGTTAAGGTAACTAAGTTTGATTGGGGCAGTATATATTGCTCACGACAAGCAATCTTGGTAATAAGATATAAGTTCTTTGATTATGACTGCCATCAGTAAGGTTTAAAATTTTGTACAACAGGATTTTACGTTTTAGACATTTTTTGGAATAAAATATACTTACAAACCATGCCTCATTGGAGAATTGGTGTTAAGTTAAATCAGTATGGATATTTTAATGGGAAACAAAGGACCCTGACAAACATTTGAATCCTGTCATTTTGTTTCGTCAGGGTGGACAATTTTTTGGTTTTCAAGAGTTATTTTGTACTTAGGCAGATTTGTTTTCCTTTTTTGAATATTTACAATTTTGTAACGGGATGGTAAAATAGTGCTTAGCTCCATGCTGTTCTGTGGGAAATTAAAGGTAGAAAAAACCATTAATTAGAATGATTGTTACAAAATGAACTGTAATAAGTTTCATCGTAAGACTGAGCAGTAAGAGTTCAGGCCAATTTATTGGAATAGGCACTTAGCTGGAGTCCTGCTGGGAGATCTCTCTCGGTTCACTTCTTTTTTGAGCTATACAGCAGAACACACTCTGTCAGTAATCCCAGCTTAGTACTCCGCAAAATCCTAGACAGTACTGAATTGCCATAATGGATATGATGCAAGGCATGGCTTGCAAGTGCAACCCTTGTGCCATTTGCCATCGCTGATGAAAGATTCTTAGGATAAGAAAAGGAAAACAACTAAAAAATTGATCATTCAGAATCATGCACATACTTCAAAATTATTTTCATAAATTTAAATCCAGCTACTTGTTTTCAGTCAGGAAAACCAGTGGATGATTCTTTCCTGACGGACTTTAGCAAATTATCAATCAAAACCAACCTACGAAAATATGCTGAGGGTAATAATTGATCTGACCTCATCCATCTGCTTGTGAATGTGTAGAGTTGGTGGCATAGTGCTTTCAATGATTTTGGTCGATTCTGCATTAATGGTCAAAATTACCAACACTTCTTTACATCCTCTCAGTTTGGAGTCACTCCTTCTTTATATTGTTGCAATTAAGTAACGGTTCATCCTTAATTTCAGGAGTTAATCATTCTACTTTCTGACTTTTCTGACTTTGACTTTTTCTGTTTTTGATCGATCCTAATTATGCAAGCTGGAACTTGCGCAAGGCTTCTTAAATGTCGCCAAACGTACATTTTTTCATCAATTTTTAAAGTATGCATAAAAACTTATTTAACTCCTGGTAATTGCCCATGAAAATTACCAAGATTCCAAAGCTTTGCATCTTTTTAAAATATCACATCGTATTACTTGAAAATATTCTTCGCTTTTTTTAAAATTTCAAAAGCTTTGGAAACATCTTCAGGAAAGTTCATTTGTCTTGTGGTTTTCAAAGAAAGAAAGTGCTTGAATCATTAGCTTCTTAGCCCTTATTCCCATGTTACCTGAAAGTTTGTATCGTTCCTTGACACTTTCTCATTGATCATAATGTTACAGTCAATCTATTTTCAGAAATAAGGGAACCTTAAAGGAAGTCCATAGCTGTTGTCACATAAGCAATCTGATTGTACATTCATTAACGTTGGCGAGTATAATCGACTCTTGGCAGTGGCCCACTGCCGCCTGAATGTAATTGTTACTGCGGCACCAGCGGCTTATCGGCACTGGAAATTTAAAAAAAAGAGACTTTCATGTAATAAAATAGTTTTGAAGTGGTATTTGTAATTGATAGGGTTGCACATGACATTGAGAGAGAAATGTTGATTGCGGAGAAAGAATTACTCATGAAAACTATCCAAGTCTTTACCATATGGCTGCACCAGTTTAGTGTTTGAAACTTGCTTGATGATTGACTCCTTTTATAGTGCAGAGCCCCTCTCACTTGGAAACTACTTTGCAAAACAAGTCAATTTGCTTGGAAACTGTAGGGAAAATTCCTACAAGACCTGAGAGAGTAACTAGTATTGGATTAGACCAGAAAGTTGTAAGAAGCATTTATTACCAACATTGCCAACTAAATAATTTGCTAGAGGAATGGCTCATAAAAGGCGCAGTTTTTATTAACAGACTAAATTCATTGATATAAATAGATATAAAAAAGTTTGTAGCCTTATCTACCCTGAGCCAACTCAGAATTATATTCATCTCTATTTCAGCAAATTTATATTCATTAGCTTTTTTTCATATAATTATACATGCATCTTTCAAAGCTCTCATTTTTCTATGCAGACCTTGAAATATACCACAAAAGCCCTCTCCATAGCATGGGTCTCTGAATACTCGAGGATCGTCCGTCATGGATTTTCAAGAGTAAATGTTTATTTTTTGGCAGACCAAAAGAAAACAATGTGAGAACGAAGAGGGGGATGATCCACCCAAGAAATCAAAGCAAGGAGAAGTTCTAGAAGAAGGTGAATGTTCAGATAGTGACAACGAAGAAATCAAAGAAACTGATGAAATTGTGAAAGATGACGCGGAGACCAAAGTCGAAGATCCAGCCACGCCTGTGATTCAGTCGAATGGGGATGCGACATCTAAGCCGAAGTCAAGCATTGATAATGATGAATTTGACACCGGTAATTTATTTTTTAATTTTTTCCCCATCAATTTTTCTGAAATAGATTGATTGTAACTGTTTCATTTTTAACTGCAGTGGTATCACTATTTACGATTGAAATTTATTCCTTAACCCACTAAAACTGCAGCAGCCTGTAAATTCTCAGCATACTTCTCACGAACACTCTTCCTTCTTGCACTTAAGGATCGGCTTGAAAATAAATGTAGTTTACTATCTCGTCTTTCGTTCTTCCTCATTCCTCATTTTTATTTCTCTTTGCTTTGCATTGTTTATTTTATTGAGTAATGCCTACATAGAATTTTCTCAATGTCTTGCACACTTAATTTATGTTCCCATGCACTTTTAGCATGTTTATCAAGTTTCTGTAGTTAATTTGCTCTTCTGACAGTCACGTTTCATGTCAGTAAAAAATGTATTCAAAGTAGATTCTTCATTAGAACCTCAATCCGAGTTTTAATATTTTGAGGAACCAGAAGAATATTTGATGAAGGAACTTGTGTATAAAAAGATGTCTAGTATTCAATTTACCGAGAACTTGTACGTTCAATGTTCAAAGTGAAGTTATTGTAATAACATAGGTTTGAAAAGTGTTTCCCAGTAAAAGAGTGACGTTAGTAATGTACCATCTTTTAAAATCTCATTTGTGCAGTAACTTTACTGATAATACTCTCGTCTTTTTCCTCTTCTTTCAGAAATTAGCAAACAGTATCCGCCATGTATGCGGGTGATAGTTCAAGAAAGTAATGTCAAAGGTGTCAAACCTGGATCGTTATTCATGATTACTTGGCCTGGAGGAACGCTGGGTAGAGAAGGGGATCATTCCATTCTCATTCCAGATCACAATGTTAGCAAGGTATGAAAACTTTAAAGTTCAGTTCTATTGAAGACAATTTCTACATCTATAAATCACATTGAAGTTGTTCTGATACGTCAACTTGAATGACTAGAGTCTGTATAAAGTAGTTGGAGATAGCGGCTTGTAAGTGGCTGAAATAATTGTTGGCACAAAGTAACGTAAGACAATCAGCATCAATGACTTTTATTGACGTTGACACCTAGAAAATTCACAAACTGATTGCAGTGGACGCACAGGTCGCAAGACAGAATGTTGAGTTTTTTAGCCAACGTACGTTAAAAATTCAGCATAAAGCTGAAAATCTCAATACATAAAAGTTTACTTGTGCCAGCGACCGCTTGCCTAAGTCTTGAGCTGGTTTTCACAACCTCTCCAAGCTTGATAGCTAAAAATTCAAGAGGCTGCGCCGCACTGAGGATATTCCCAACAAGACCAAAACGCGTCTGCAGTTGCCTTCCTGAATGGTCATTACTAGTGTTGTACCAAACAGGGTATCTCTTTGAGGGGAAATTGTGTTTGTGTGTGAGCTTTTTCCCTCTCTATTGCGATTTTCAGCTTTATGCTGAATTTTTATCGCACGTTGGCTAAAAAGCTCCAACATACTGACCTAGAAAATTGGTTGGAACACTATCTTACTTGGATTACAGCCTTTGATGAATAATTCATTTAGCCTGGATTCTCTATGCTTTTTATCTATAGTAATAGGAGAAACGTAGAAGAAACTGTCCAGTATTTTATTTTTTCAGAAATTTTCTCATCAGAATTATTCTTCTTCTCCTACAAACAACAAGGGCGTAGCCCTGTTTGTCAGGCCATCTAGTATCGAACACATTAAAACATTTAAATATTATAAAATTTAAAAATCGTTAAAAATAGAGAATTTGTCAAATCAATAAAAAACAGCAGTGAAATATTTAGCAAGAAATTATCCAGAATCTTTTGTCTATTTGAAAATATTTCCTGCGCTGAATGAGACTATATGACTCAGTTGAAGAAATCACTCCAAACTTTAATCTGAACTCCATTGATCTTCCCTCCAACTGAATTTTTCATTCCTTGCGTAACCCTATTCATTCATTTTGTTTTGTCTTTCAGTATCATGCCAAGTTTTCATTCTCGGGTGAAAACGAGAATGGGAATTATGTTTTAGTCGATCTTGGAAGTAAAAACGGAACATACTTGAACGGACAAAGACTATCAGTAGCGCTAAGTGAAAGTGATCCATTCCCTGTAGAGCATGGTAGTGAAATTCAGATAGGTTCTACAAAATTACTTTGTCATGTTCATAATGGCCAAGAAACTTGTCCAAATTGTGAGCCAGGAGTTATGATAACAGAAGGTGAGAACTATTCAATAAAGTTTTTTGTTTGTCAGATTTTTCTCATGATCACTCCGATACATTCAAGCAAAATCAGCCGAATGACATCAAACAGTGCCTAATTTTCTCTCTTGTCTTCTTTCCTCTTTGTACAGGAAATCAAACAACATTCTAACTTGTCATTTTGTGAATACATTCTTTCCAATCTTAGAGAAATTCACCCCAGGTTTCAAGGCGTTATGTTGTTTTGTTTTCAGTTGAAAAAATAGAAAAACATAAGAGTAAATCCTGCAATGTGAAATGCAGTTAGATTAATTTTTGTTAATCTATCCATCCTCTACTTTTTAAGTGTGTTCTGCAAAAGTATTTAAGTGCACCTAGTGCTGCCTAGTAGAATGGATTGTGAAATTATAAATGCAGAAAACTAAAACTTTGTTCGCTCTTCGTAGAAAGAAAATGTCTGCTTTTAATCATTTTCAGTCATTTAAAGTAAAATATTTTTCTTATAGCTGAATATTGTTTCTCTATGGAAAGAATAACACTGATCAGGAGGTAAAGATCCTATTATGGAATGGACGTATTTATGCTAAATGGAACTATGTGGAAGTGGAAAGTTGGGGTGTGCTCGTTAATGCTCGGGCCATAAGAATGAACGGAAATTTTAAAGCGCCAGTTACATCAGCAGCAACGAAGCCGTCTCCGTTATCATTCTTGCTCGTCTTTAACTTATGAACCCTGTCCTCAAGCTCTTGTCACATGTGCACAGCTCACGAGTTAGCGCTCAGCTCCTTTTGATTTAATGTCAAATCCCACTTTTCCATTTTCTCAAAAGGAACTATATCCACTTTTACATTGTTTCTTATTAAGCTTCCACGAGCACACCGAATCTTTCCACTTCCACATAGTTCCTTTTAGCATAAATACGTCCAAATGAATTGTCTATGCTGTTTTTATCGCTAAGTGAGAGTAGCAGAGGGGTGATGAATCTTTAAATCACCATCAATTTTCTGTCACTCAGGATTTCACTTTAGAGTGTCTTACCATTCATTCCTTTCATGGTTAAAAATGCACCATCATCGCTAACCTGCATTCGCCAATTTGTTTCTTTCTGACACAGGCAGTTTCTTACATTTTGATGGAGTGATTGTTTTTTTTTCCAGATAAGAAAAAAGAAGTGATCCATGTGAACAAAGGAGAAAATTATAAGTCAGAATTGAAAAGACTGAAAAACAAGTACGGAGTTGAGTCTTTAAGTAGCGCATTATCAACTCCTGCTCCAGGATATGAGGATAAAGCTGACATTAGGCGCAAGACAGTCGGCTCATCCTCTGATAACTTCAAAACTGAAACAGCTTCCGTTCAAGAGTAAGTTTTTCTTTTTTGTGCCACCTGCTGTCAGACTTCAATTACAAAACTCATTCCACTGAAAATAAATTCATAACCAGACAAACTTTGCGGAGAGTTGGCTATTCCTGTCCACTTTTTGGCCTTGAAAAACTCGCTCAGGGAAAACTGATGTATGGTTTTGATGTATGTAGTTGTGAGATAATTTTCTATTGCAATTAAAATCAGAGCTCTATCTCACATCGTTCAACATTTATTGTAATAGAAAGGTTAGTTTTTGAGGCAGGTGGAAAAAACGCCCCAAAAAAGTAACGACTTTCCAAATGCAAAAGCAGTTGGTATGGTATGAGCATGTGCAGAGGATGGCTGATACCAGGTTGCCGAGGAAGGTGTTGGAGTGGGTCCATCCAGGTAGGCGACGGAGAGGGCGTCCAGCCAAACGGTGGGTAGAGGGCATCCGTCTAGAGATGGAGAGATGCCAGCTTCCAGAAGATCTCTACCATGACAGGTTCCTGTGGCGGGTAGGCGTCGTAGAGCGTCCTAGTGCACCGTTATAGCGACTTGTACAAACATACTTTTCGAATGGCTTTAAGGAAAAAGTCTCCCTAAGCTAATAAGCTGTCCAAAAGGCTAAAATTTGGCACAAGTAGCCTGAGGCTCACTTTCTTTTCAGTTTCAAGATCATAATGCTGGAATCACAAGCCGGCAGCTGAATATGTGAGTCAACAGTTACTGCTCAACAGCTGAAATTTTGAAAATTCGAGTCATGTTCATCCAGATTTGTATCAAATTCATTCTAATAGTTCAGACAAACTGATAACTGCTCCTCATCGGTGCCCCGAATTTTTTGTATGAGGCGCAAAATTCAGGCATTGGACCGATGGCCTCCACATTCAAGCTACATTCAGCTCCCATATTCAGCGTGTGATTCCAGCTTAAGATCATTCTTACAATTTTGCACCCCCACATACTAGAATAGTTTCTTTTCCATTCCTTTATAATTTGTTTCAAGGAAACTTTTGTTCCATTCAGTGAATACAAAGTGTCATTATTTCCCTTTTTGTTTCTGATTGGCATTAATTGTACCTTCTACTTGTTACAGATCTATACCCAGTGAAAACAAAGGCTTTAAAATGCTTGCTAAGATGGGCTGGAACAAAGGACAAGCTCTAGGAAAAGAAGAAAAATCAGATGCCATCACAGAACCGGTAAGGGAATTAAAAATTTTCTACCATTTTCTAACACTATTTCATCAAACTTGCTTTCAAATTTGATTTTACGAGCCGTTATCTCTCTTTCTTGCACATGATCGGTTTTCTTACAATTCTCGTGTGATTTTAAGAGTGATTCTCTGCAAGATTATGTTTTTATTTTTAATTTATTTCTCTTACTATCCCTCATGAGCAGATGTTACTGAGAGGGTGCAGGTGCCCTTGTCAGTATGTTTTCTCAACATAATAAGTGTTTTTCTCCTCCTGTTAAATTCATCTTTGATCAAAAACGTTTAGATATTACCTACTCAGTAATGGGAAAAGTGCCTCTCATCTGCTCTCCTGGCTGGTTCTGAAAAATAGGTTCAGGACTCATTTTAAAGTTTTTGGTAGTTAACAATCGAACTTTCAGATGGTCAATATTAATTTCAAAATCCTCAGTGCTGAAATGCCTGATCATCATTTTCACGTCATTTAAGGCGATTCTGTGTGATCGAGGGAGGAGATTTGTCACTACATTACGCCGCAACATGGTTTAATAATAATTATTGTAATGTACAAGATAATGCAAGAAACTGATAGCAGCATCACTATCAAGAAGAATGACATCAATTTTGTGAAGATTTATTGAAAATTCATAGGTATCTGAAACTACCACATAATGGAAGTAGCTTACGGACTCAATATGTGAGAGAGAGTTATTATCATGTCATCTCTCTGTTACACATTGAGTCAATGGGCGATGTCCGTTTTGGTAGTTTCCGATATAAATTCTCTATGAATCCCCACAAATTTGACGTCATTCTACTCAGTATTAGTGCCGCTACACGTCATCATGGGTCAGTTTCTTGCATCATCTTGTAGATTACGACAGTTTTTGCTTCTCATAAACATAATCCGTGAGACAGCCTAACGTAGTGGCGAATCTCGTCCCTAGATCACATCGAGTCACCTTAAGGGGCATCTTTGTAGGAAATAATCCCAGGCCACCTGATATTTTTGGCAATTTTTGTCAGGTTTTGCTCCTCCAGGAAATTTTGCGCCTTTCTAAAGACTTGATCTCCCTGCTGCCCCCATCTAGCTGAAATGACTGTCTTATGTCATTTTATCTTCGAACGTTGCCATCATTTTCAAAAAGCTGTTTAGGTACTGTCTCAAACGTCGGTGTGTTGTACTGCTATGCTAAGGAAGAACGCTGCAAGAGCTTTCAGACGTTGTTTAATTTCCTTGGACAAAACATTTATTTTTGAGGAAACTTATGGATATTTTGCCTTAAAATTCTAAGATATTTTAGATTAAATGCGAACAAAATTGTCTGGAACATCGGAGGCTAAATATTCAGAATTTTCCCAGTGAATTCGCTTTTTATCGAAGGAAACGTCTGAAGGCTCATACGGCGTTTTTCCTCAGCTCTGCACACAGGGGATCGAATCAATTAAAGAGGTCGGACATGAAATTTTTGACTTAAATTGCAAATTTTGATGTTTATTTCTTCACATTTTAAATTTCAAGGGGTGCTCCTGGAATAAAATTTCATGAGGAAACCCAATGAAACCACTTTAAGAACCTCAAAGTTTTGTATTAACGTAGTCATAAGCTTTTAAAGTTGCCAAATTTTGTCGGACTTCTCCTATTGACTCGTTCCAGTGCGTGGCAGTACACTGCCGTGTTAAGGAAGAACGCCGTATGAGCCGTCAGGTGTTGCCAAATTTCCTTTGAAAAATCATGGATTTCCTGGTAAACTTATGAATATTATCCTTCCAATTTTTTAAATAATTTTGTTCGCAATTTCACCTAGCGTTCCAGAAAATTTCAAAGAAAAGTATCCATATCTTTACTCGAAAGTAAACATTTTACCGAAGGAAATTCGGCAACTCTCGAATGTTCATACGGCGTTCTTCCTTAGTACGGCAGCATAGTATCGAGGACCGAAAAAATCGTCTCCGGGAAAATGTCTCACGACCAGTGATCTGATTATTGAAATTGATGGACAAAGCCATAGACAAAGAAGACATAAAGGTTATGGAGGGATCCTATTGGTGAAATCAGGCAGTTGACAGGACAAAGGAGGTAGGTAATAGACCAACTAACGGCAACCAATGATGGACCTTACAGTTAGTCCAGCATTTTCTCCCTTAGTCTATAAGAACCATCCATTCCAACCAATAGGATTGCTTCATACTTTCCATGTCTTTTTTGTCTATCAATTTCAATAATCAGCCCGCTGAAAGTCTTCTTTTAAACTTTTAAAATGCTGGAACTGCGGGCCGATTATTGAAATTGATAGACAAAGCTATAGGCAAAGATGACAAAAGGGATATGGAGGGAACCTGTTGGCGGAAGCGGGTGGTTGCAATGGACAAAGGCAGTAGGTTATAGACTAACTAACGGCAACTCACGAGAAACCGGACAGCTAGTCCATCATTTTCTCCTTTAGTCTATAAGAGCCACACATTTCAACCAATAGGATTGCTCCATACCTCCTATGTCTTCTTTGTCTATAGCTTTGTCTATCAATTTCAATAATCGGCCCGCAGTTCCAGCATTTTAAAAGTTTAAAAGAAGACTTTCAGCGAGCTGATTATTGAAATTGATAGACAAAGCGATAGTCAAAAAAGACATGGGAAGTATGGAGCAATCCTATCGGTTGGAATGGATGGTTCTTATAGACTAAGGGAGAAAATGCTGGACTAACTGTGGGTCCATCATTGGTTGCCGTTAGTTAGTCTATTACCTACCTCCTTTGCCCTGTCAACCGCCCGATTTCACCAATAGGATCGCTCCATACCTCCTATGTCTTCTTTGTCAATAGCTTTGTCTATCAATTTCAATAATCAGCCCGCTGGACGAAGAATCACCCTGTGCGAGTCTTATCCTCGTGCCGGGACGCATATTCCCAAACCCCGCGTGGATTGTGAAAAATCTAGCCTGTCCTCAAAATCGTTAGCCGCTGCCTTCTGAGCCCTGCCGCGGTCGGCATGGGCCTCTTCAGCAAGTGGCCTTGGGCACTGCGGCCATCCTCTCTCCTTTCTCCTTTCTCCCGTCTCGCGTCTCGCCGCCCCGTCTGATTGTCTCTTCAACCCTTCGGAATGAATGGGGGTGACCTCGCGGTCCACTCTTTTTGTTTTCCGGAAAATATCTTCTTCCTCCTCAAAACAAGCCCTTCGCAGAGTTGTCACATGTTGAGTGCATTTTGAAATGCACCATTGACAGTATTTTTAGGTTTCTGCCTTCATTCATTATGTTCAGTCTCTCAAACAACGTAGTTGAATGATGAACTTTTTTTGGGGAACATTTATTTTTCATAAAAATTTCTATTCCTATTTAATGGGGTTTTAATAGCTCTCCTATTGATTCGGGTGAGACACGAAGTGCATATTCATCCTCGCAAATGCAGAGACTTTTTTTTATAACTTTTCTTCACCACCAGGTTTACTGTTTATCCTTTCAAGCAAGGTGATAGGTTCTGCGCAGAACTATATAAGTAAAAGAAAGGAAATAATTGAAAAAAGAAAGAAAAAAATTACTTGAATTTTTCGTCAAGAATACTGCTCTTGAATCAAGAATAAGGTCACTGGAATAAGGCCGAATCCTGCTTGATATGAGCGGCAGCGGCTTTTTTCTCAAAGTAGGTACGCATTTTGCAGCTTAAGCCAAGAGAAATATCTCCTCCTAGCGGCAAATTCAAGAATATTAATTCTTACGTAATCATTTTTTTCCAGTACAAAAGCTCCGCAAATTCCACTAATCAAAGAGGCTTGTGAGATGCATATGCATTGCGCTGCTCTAAAAATGTTCCGAGAGTTTTCCATCAAAAATGTTTTTTACAAAGAACAAAACGGTAGGCATAGCCAATAGACAAGTTTATTGATCATGCGATCAACGAAGGTGACGTCATGACTCTGCATTGCGAAATTTTCGGCATTAAAAAATATTTCCACTGCACGTAATTTAGGCATTTTTCGGTGAAAGGGCGTATGAGACGTCCATTTCTGCTAAGATTGTGCAACGTAGTTCTCTATCCGACTGTTTTGCTGTTTATTTTTCGTTGAATCTGCTCAGAGTTTTTCCTGGCGATTTAAAGGACATAAATCGACTGTGAATGAATTTCATTTGCCGCGAACGGTAAGAAAACTGCGCAATCGCAACAGCATGGCAAGCTCCATTCGCCCTTTTACCGAAAAAGTCCTCAAATTCTGCTGTTTCAAAAGATTCAACTGAATAAATAAATATTACATCGATTAATTCGTGGCCAAAACTGTTGAGAAGAAATCAGAGGAAGGGCATGAAGGTTGGACGGAGATGAGAGACTACCTGAGCCGAGCCGGTGCGGAGGAGTCTCGGACCCGCACAAGGGGCTTCGGTTGGGGTCTAAACGGGATTTCACAATCCACGCGGGGTTTGGGAATATGCTGCCGGGACGATCATTATGAAAAGGAGTAATTAGCGAATCGCCGACTCGTCTCTCTGGCGGTGTGCCGTCTCGCGGCGGCGCGTCGCCGGATGGCGCGGAAACCCGCGGATTTCCCGGCCGGTCCGGCCGAGGGACCCGGAGAAGCGGCTACCCGCCGACGGGAACAATAACTGACGTTACCTCATCGCTGTCGCAGTTTGACAGACATTGTGGCCCTCAGACTGATTAATGATCCCGCTCCACACTCCACCTCGACGTTTCGGGTTTTTTCGCGCCGCTGCCGTCCCTAGCGCCGAGTTCTCGCCGTTTTTCCGCGCGGGATCACGAAAAGGGACCAGCGGGCCGATTATTGAAATTGATAGACAAAGCTATAGACAAAGAAGACATAGGGGGTATTAAGCAATCCTATTGGTTGAAATGGGTGGTTCTCATAGACTATAGGTTTTGTCTCGTCTTACCGACAGAGCCAGTTAAAGTTTTAACAATTAGGATCCAGCAGGCTGATTATTGAAATTTGTAGACAAAGAAAACATAGGGAGTATGGAAGAATCCTATTGGTTGAAATGGGTGGTTCCTATAGACT